AACTATCACGTTTTCTCTGATGAAGTTTGCAGAAATATAGGGAGAAAAACTATTAATCCAAGAGCAACTCTTTTATAGTTTATACAATTGTGATGGAGATGCCTCCGAGTACTGGACTTTGGGGAAGAGAAGAGGTAAGCAATTGCACTAATGTCTTGCTTGTGGCTTCCCACAAGTATCTGGTTGGCCACTGTGGAAACAGAATGATGGACTAGGCAGGCTTTTGGTCCAATCCAGAGCCATTCTTCTTATATACTTATGCTATGATGCAAAAATGCAAAGCTTATAATAAAATCTGTTATCATGAGGACATCAGAAGTTCCATGCTTCATCAGGCCAAGATCTATCTAGTCCTGCCCTCTGTTCACACAGTGGCCAACCAGCAGCCTGTGGAAACCCACGAGCGGGACAGGATTGCCACAGCTCCCTCCTACCCATGTTCTTCAGTGAATTGGTGTATATGGGCATACTGCCCCTGATGCTGAAGACACAATATAGCCATCGAGATTAGCAGTGACCGATAGTCATATTCTATGAGTATGTGCAGCTCAATCTTCTGTTGAAGCCATACAGATGGTGGCCACCACATCATCTTGTGGGAGTGAATTGTATTGTGGGAGTAACTCTGCATTGTATGAAGAAGCACTTCCTGCCAATTATCCTTAATTTTCCACCAATCAGCTTCATGGGAATACCCCCAGACTGTAGTATTAGGAGAGAAGGAGAAAAATGTCTCTCTCACTACTTTCTCCACTCCATGCATGATTTTGTACATCGATCATATCTCCCATTATTTGCCCTTTCCTCCTAAGATAAACAATCCAAGCTGTTGTAACTAGGGATGTGTGAGGGATATGTTTTAGAGGTGGGTCTCCATTGAATTCCCTGGCCTCACCTTCCTGGCTTCTGGCTGCTTTCTTGTAGTTGTGTCTGGAATTCTGGTGGGCTCACTGAGCATTTGCATAGCACTGAGTAGAACCTGAGTCCCATGTAACTGCTGCACAAGTGCTATCCCTCTTCAGCACAGGTGACCTACAGTCTTTGTTTGTGCTGCATGTGATGAAGAAGGTTGTCATGTGTGCAGGTGGGGTCTTTGAGCATTCATGGATTTCCTCTGGGCTCGGCTTGCTTTACAAGACAGAACTGAGCAAGAGAGGAAGTCAGGGAGCTTTGTCACAACACTAAGTGTATCCTTTCCACAGAGGAGTGCTGCTCCAGCCTTTTGATCATTTCACTTCTCTTTTCTTGTACTTTTTCCAACTTTACAATATCCGTTTTTGGCATGGTGAACAGTGTGGTTGCATCATTAATTTATATAAGAGTAGTATGATATCGGAAATTTAATTTTTAATTCCTCTCCTATTTCACATAACCCAGATTTTGTCATTATTACAGCAGTCTCACACTGGGTTGTCATCTTTACTGTCACTACAACCCCAAGATCTTCTGTTTGGCCCACAGTCACTAGCTCAGATCCCATCAGCTTCTACTTGGGATTTTTGGCTGCAACATGCATCACTTTACACTTGCTTACACATAGCTTCATTTGCCCTTTTGATGCCCATTCTCCCAATTTGGAGAAATCCTTTTGGAACTCTCACAATCCCTTTTTGTTTTAACTACCCTAAATAATTTGGTGTTCTCAACTTGACAACTTCACAGCTCACTGCATAATAGATTCCTGTGGGAGCCCACTGTTTGCATCCCTTTATTGGGAAAAGTTACCATTTATTCCTACTCTCTACTTTCTGCTCTTTTACCAGTGACTGATCTGTAAGAGAACATGTCCCATGACATTCCTTGCCCCATGACTGTTCAGGGGTCAAGTTTCCTCAAGAGTCTTTGATAAGGGACTTCATTAATAGCCTTTAAGGAGTCCAAGTAAACAACATCTACTAGGCCATCTCTGTTTACGGACATGCTCAAAAGAACTCTAAAAAAGAATTGTGACCATATTTACAACAGCAGAACCCATGTTGACTGTTTTAGCAGGGCTTGTCCTTGGATATAGTTGCTACTTGTAGCTTTAATAATGCTTTCAACCATTTTCCCCAGAGTTTACATTAAATTAACTGGTCTGTAATTTCCCCAAATCCTCACAGAACACCTTTTTTTAAAAAAATCAGCCATTCTACAAGTCTCCCAGTAGAGAAGTTGTTCTGTTGATTTTTGTTCAAAGATCAACAGTTTCTCAGTTAAGAACTCAAAGATGGATCTGGACCTGGTGATTTATTAACTTTAACTCTGTCAATAAGATTAAAAGCATATTTTCCTCACTGATATTTGCTTCAGTTGCAGTCTCCCTGCCTAAAAATATGAGTTCAGGGACAGGTATTTGTCCTGGGTCTTTTGCAGTGAAGTCAGATGAAAAAATTTCATTCAATTCTCTGCAATTTCCTTATCCTCCTTTTCTGCTCTGTTAAATCCATTATCCTCCAGTGGTTCAAATGCCTTCCTAGCTGGTTTCCTGCTTCTGATAGATTTATTTTTTTTTTCATTGTTGGCCTTGATACTGTTAGTGAGAACCCCAAGATGCCTTTTTGCATATCCTCTTGTCTGCTAGCTTACACTTCATGCAGCCTGGTGCTTCTTTTTGTTTTTCTCATTTGGGCAAAACTTCCATTTTCTAAAGGAAACTTACTTTTCTCCAATAGCATTCTTATTCATGCTGGTTACTGAATAGACTTGGCACTACCTTTCCTACCCTATGAAATACATTCAGGCTGAGCTTCTAATTGCAGTTTTAAGTAATCCCCATGCCTTTTGGAGGTCTGTAACCCTCTTGAATCCCTCTTCAATTTCCTTCCCACCAGCTCCCCCAGTTCTGACATGTTTCCTCTTCTGAGATCAACTGTGACAATGTTGGATTTTCTTGACAATGTTCCACTTAAATATATATTAAACATATATCAAATCTGATACCACTTTGCTCTCTGTTTCCAATTTGTGCAACAATATTGTAATATTTTTATATTAAACTTGCATTTAATGTACTGATTGAATATTCTATTTGCATGTTTTCTGTGAGCTGCTTGGGGGTCTTTAGCTGTACGTGGCATAGTAATAATGTGTAATATAACAGTTACATCTCATACTAAGTCCTAGGTGAGACTATTTAGGATTAAATCCAGGGTTGCTTGCCCCCCATTCGCACACACCCAGCTGGTTCTAGGGTGTCAGAAAATTTAGCCTCTTTGTTGTGCTGAAACATGCATTTATCCAATTAATGTGGGAGTGCTTGAAATTACCCATTATTACAACACCTCCTTATTTGGAGGCCTCCGATGTTGCAGCTTCCATGAAATGCCAGCTTCCATATTTTGCTTGGTTCGGGTAACATTCTCAAAGCAAAACTGGTTTGTAACGGTATGCATCAAAGCACAAAGTAGCAGCTTTAATAATATTAACATTTTTCTCAGGTTTAAAAGCCATTTTCTTCTTAATTCTGATCACAAACAGACACAATAGAGTTTCTTCAGCAATCATTTTAGAGCCTGACATTTTGCTACTGTAAGCTGTTTCATGCAGACAGATCTCTGTGGCTACACAAAACTATAATAAACACAACGGATGTGGCAAGAAGAACAAAGAACTTGTGACGTAACTTCAACACACAAGGGGAAAACCCTTACTATTCTCTTCATTCCTAAATCAATGATAAAAAGCTTAGCATTTCACCATTTCCCTTTATGGTATGCAATCTAAGACTGCTGGTGGTTTTATCTTCATTTTATTATGTTTTGCTTTTATTCACTGTTTCATTATTTGCATTTTATGTTTCAGTTACACACATCATGGGAAGACAAGACTCACTGGAGAAGACAATAATGTTAGGAAAAGTCAAAGGGAGAAGAAGAAGATCACCGATTCTTAGATGGATCAGTTCCATAAAGGGACACACAGCCTTGTGTTTAGAAGAGCTGAGCAGGGCTATCAAGGTCAGAACTTTTTGGAAGCATTCATTTAAAGGGTCGCCATAATTCAGAGATTTGTAACAACATTTTCAATAATGTATTGTGAATAACCCAGAGAACTTGCATTGGTTTGTTGGTTTGTTTAAAAGTGCAATAAATAAATAAATAAGATATTCTTCTATAACTAATTCATAGAAGCATTGCCAAAACTTACCAGCCTTAACTGAATGCAATACTAAACCATGCAAACTAGTGCCATCCAGATACTTTAGACTACAAATCCCAGAATCCATGACCATTTGTTGTGCTGGCTGAGGCTGCTGGGAATAGCAAATGAAAAGTTCTGGAAGGTACCAGGATGCCAATCCCAGGTTTGGCATCATACCTGAAGAAGGCTGAGTGACCCTAGGGCCTGTACCCTCTCTATCCCCTTCTTTTACTTTGGTGTAGCCCCTAGGAAGAGCCTCCAGTCCAGGACTGGGCTCCTGGACACAGAATGTGTCCTTCACAGAACTCCTTCATGATAAGTCAGGCTGGTACATTTTACATCCTACATTCCCTCCTCACAACCTTCCTGAGAGTTACATTAGGCTAAAAAATACTGACTCAGGCACCTGGAATCCAGGTATGTCTGGTCCATGTGTCCAACATTTTAGGCACACCACAGAGTACATGTGAGTGAGTAAAACTTGCATATATGCTAGTCTGTTGATCACTGTTGTATATGAACCCAGGAAAAAGAAAGCAGAGTTCATACGATGCTGAATGCTCAGCAGAAAGCCCTGTGCATTTAATCCAGCTGTGGAGAGGCTTTGGGATTCCCCCCTCCCCCCCGCATTTGTTCCTTACTACTGCAAATTAAAGGTATTTCTGATTTTTGGAGTAAAATCTCAGAGATGAACATCTGGCACAAAATGTTAATCACCATGCCAAAGCTGATTTTTTCCTTAGGAAGATCAAGGCAAGCAGAATAATCTTTGCTTGAAATAATCCTAACTCACCCTTCTGCTTCTATTCCAATTTATTTGTGTTTCAGACCTTGGGTACAGTGGGGTGGGGTGGGGTGGGGTGGGGTGAGAAACTGACCTGAGACCTTCCCCTTCAGGAGAATACTGTCTGCAATACTCGAGCGTAAAAGAATCAGTAGCTTCTGGATGACTGGTAGTCCATCGAATAGTAGCAGTATCCCAACAGATAGTACATTCTTCTGCGTTTATTACCGGGGTTGGGGGAGCTGTTAAGAGCAGTTATCAGATTAGATTCTATACAGATGTCTACACTGGCTACAGTGTGTCTATGTTGAAATGACTGAACACATCAGGTTTGCTAATGTCAATCACAATAAACTAGCTTAAGATGTATTGCTTTTTGGAGTACATCTTTTTCTTTAATTGTTTTTATTAATCCAGTGATAACAGGGCCTCCCCTGAAGATGACAGTGGCCTGGGAGGTAGGTACAAGGAAAGATGATCCTTGAGGAAACCTAGTCCTGAATTGTATAGAACAATATCCAGGCAATATTTTGTTCTTATATACAGATACTTTACCATCTCTTCTGACTCTTTGAAAGGGTGAATTGCAACTAGCAATTAAAACAATTAAACTAAAAACACAGCAATGTGCAATTAGCCTAAATCACTAGTAAAATGTTCCAGTCCTAAGATCCTTGGGAGGGCATCCCAGGGGTGTAGTATGCATTGGATCTCACCCTTCAAGACTAGACAAGTGAGGTTCAATCTTGCAAGGGAAGAATTTACTTCAGATGCCTCCTCTGTAATAAAGATCTATGGTCCTCCAGTTCACAAACAGCCCCTGACATGGAGGGCAGGAATTTACAATTGCCTTGAAGTTTATGTTAAATGCTCCCTCAATAACTTTTGAACTACTGCTCAGAACCTCACCAAACCAAGGAAGGATAGCTTTCATCAATGACCCAGAACAGAGTATGGTTTTCTCCCAAATTTTAAATAAATATTTAAATAAATATTTACATGACTGTTGAAAAACAGGAGTTAGATGATAAATGTGTCAATTTTGAGCACTTTGAAGTTGCTGTACCAATGTCTATTTTTATCAGATCAGTTTGAAATTTGGCACAATTGCAAACTTCATTAAGTAGATTTCAGGATTTATATGATTAAGTGAACAGCAATCTATATTGCTAATATTTATAAGCAATATAATTTTGAGGTGTTTTTGCCGTTTGCCTTAACTAACGGTATACTTTTCTGCACCTTCAATTTCAACCCTTTAATGGTTTCTGAATGCACATCAGGAAGAGCACATCTGAAGCAACAGGTAACGTTTAGCTCCTTAACTATTCCCAGGATGTTCTTGCAACAGAGGTGCTTAAATTGGATTCTGGAGTTTTGTTTTTTATGACCCAGACTTAAATCTCACACAAGTAGAGAAAAATATACATGCAGGAAAATGCAAGATGCAAACTGTATAAAATGACATTTTTGAATAGCTCATTTCCTAGGTTGAAGTTATAGATATATTTCTCTCTGCCTCTTCCTCTACCCCTTTCCATTCCAGAATGGAATAATAATGTCCATAACTGCCACAGGCACCCTGAGGGACTACTAAAATCTATTTGCCATATCCAAGATAGATGCAAGGCAGTCCATAATAAGAGCAGCAATGTAGTAATTTAAAGCAAAGCTAGAAGACAGATCTATTTCAAGAAGAATCAAGGGAAGGGCAAGCAGGCAGGCCTCAGGCATTTGCTAAAAAGTAATCATTTATGTAGAATGCCCAGAATTTCAACCATTCGTTTTGATGCAGCAAACTGGCTTACTTAATGTTCTTGAATGAGCTTTTCCTGCTGAATCAGAACGCGACACTTAAAGACCCTTGGTCCTTGAAGAAGATCTGTGACTGAAACACACTGAGCATTCTTACAAGCTTTCTGGGGTCACCTTGATTCCCATGTCTTCCTTTGTTCTTACATTTGTTTTGTTCCCTTCTCAGCAGTCCCTCCCTCCGTAAAACTCAGGCTGCAGTGGAAGTGTGAAACTTCCTTTTGTGTGCCTTTTGCACAGTTGGCATGGAAAAGTGCAAGTGAAACCAGCTGTGAAGCAGAACAGTGACCCTGTGATGGCTTCACTGTGTGGCTAATTGTAATCTGCACTGAAATCACTGGGCTGTTTCTCACGTGCATGTTCCTTCATTAGGTGACTGTAACATCAGAAACATTGGTGCTCTATGTGTCCACAAACCCAGGGCATACAGGAATACCACACATGGGAAAGTGCATAGTAAGCTTGCCACGGCAATTCCTGATCCCAGATGTACATGCGCTCATTCGATTGCCTATATAGTCTCTGTGTAGGTACAAGCTACACACACAGTTGAGAACAGAGGCTTTTTGCAGGGTCCCTGAGCAGGGTCCCTGGGATGGGTGTCACAAGCCTACTCCCACCCTATAAAGAAATCCAGGTCTCTGAATCATCCTTAAGGGCAAACTCACATTGGTGCAAATACAGAACACATCCTACTAGAGACCTTTGCCTCAGTAAAAAGGTAAAGGTAAAGGTTTCCCCTTGACATTAAGTCTAGTCATGCCTGACTCTAGGGGGCGATGCTCAGCTCCGTTTCCTAGCCGAGGGAGCCAGCGTTTGTCCACAGACAGTCTCTGTGGTCGTGTGGCCGGCATGACTAAACACCAAAGTGCACGGAATGCTGTTACCTGCCCACTGAAGTGGTACCTTTTTATCTACTTGCATTTGCATGCTTTTGAACTGCAAGGTTGGCAGGAGCTGGGACAGAGCAATGGGAACTCACCCATTGTGCAGATTCGGTCAACCAGCCCAGCAGCGCAGTGGTTTAAACCACTGCACAACCTGCAGTTCCCTACAGAGAAATACGAGAAAAATGGCCTCCCTTAGCCCAAGGTACTTACCAGTTCTAAATGTGGATTTTTCACTGGGAAAGCTGCATCCTGTGTAGTTCACAGCCATAACCCACACGCTGTAACAGTGCCCAGGTTCCAGATCTTCCAATATGCAGTTACTCTCCTTCACAGTGACACGATATTCTTCTACTAGGCCTAAAGCAAGGAAGTAATTAGAAATGCTCTCATGAAATCGGTTGCATGGTTTGCATACAAGCAACAGGTAACCAGAAATGGGACATTCAGCCTTCTTATGACCCAACTATTTTTTTCCCATGCAGTCGAAAAATATACTCAGATGGATTTTTTAAATCAAAACAAAAGGTTTTTGGGGTCTGAAAGAATAAGATCATAATTCTTCTTCTTCTTCATATTATACTAGTCACATTATTTTTACTCATATCTCTCCAGCTGCTGATACACAAATTGAAACTGAGATCTTGAGAATTTGACCTCAGTTATGCCTATCTATGTTGCATTCTGTAAATTTATGTGTTATAATCAAAATTATGCTGGTTGGAGGATGCTAGGAATCCAACGCAACTAAAGAGATTAGATTGCAAAAGGCTACTGTAATATATTTAAGATGTCTTTCATTCCATATGACATTCATTCATTCATTTGCTTGTTCATTCAATAAATGCTTCATCCTCCATTCCGCACACCCTGCACCCTGCCTCTGGCTGCAAGAAAGAATTGCTCACATACCACCTTGCTCTTTGTTTCCTGGGCATTTCTCCATACAATAAACCTGGAAGAAATCAATGACATCATCTTCATTCACAGTCCAGTACACTGCAATCGATGTGCTCGTAGCAGAGTTTGGATCCTGGGGTTGTAATTTAGGTGTTTGTGGCACTGGAAGAAAGCACACACAGGATCTGTTATTCACACACTTCACGGTTAAGCACAGCATGTACCAGCAGGCAACCAACTAATATAGGAGTTTATCATTAAGATGAGGGAATACCATGCTGATCCTGTTAACTTATTTGGACTAATAATGAACACTACATGGACAGCCACTGCCCTCGTAGCATCTGCAAAATCCTCTTTCTGAAAGTGCCATTAGAATACATCTTAAACATGTATACTGAGGGTCAAAGTTGCACTAGTTGCAGTAAGTATCACCTTGAGAAGCAGACTGCAAAAGGGTGAGGGGGATGATTTTCAGATGGAAACTCTTCTGGGACTCTGACATAGATGATGTGTAAATGCATTTCCCTCAAAATAAAAATGCACACATTTCAAAATGTGTGAATAGTGTGACATGTGATTTGGTCCTCAGGGCATATCTATACACTGCAAACATATACATAGCAGATTTACACTAGTCTAATTGTCAAGGATTCCTGTGATGCACGCAAGATATTGTAATTCAGAGCCAAGAAAGACATTACTTTGGTCTAAAGCTGGACATGACGTGCTGTTTCCTGCCCCCCTCCCCCACAGTTTTGCTCTAGAACAGGTGCAGCGGGACCAATTTGGATCAGGCACACTGAATTAAGGCACCCAGCCCCTACATTGTAGGATCTCAATCTGGATCGGAGGCCCCAAGTCTATCAAGGAGTAAAAATGAACACAGATATTGCAGTTAGACAAGGATTAAAGTAATATCTGTTTTAACTTTTACTGTGGGTAATTACTGTGCTATTATATAAAAGCAATAGGATATGCTATTAAAAATTAAAATGCAATGTGCAAATTGAAGATGCAAGTTCAATGTATAGCCATAGTTTGCAAACCCTCTTGCTTGGCAGAGGTATAACATTTCTAGACTAGAGCATCCTCCCTCCCCATGCTCAAGTATTTGATGCCTCCCATAATTGATCCACTCTGGGGACACCACAGGGTCAACAGGATTTGTACATGACCCAGCTAAACATGCAAACCCCAGAGGCCTGAAGCTCTTGATCCAAACTAAACCAATGAGAAGTGAGATTTCTTGAAAGCATGGATCAATCACACGCACACACACACTCATCTGAATGTGAAATGGCCTGACAGAACAAAGGAAAAATCCTCTCCTTTTGCCCCTATCTTGGCAGATTTCCATTTGACATGGGTTTTGAGAGCCACACAGAAAACTTGCTTTCTTCTTTTTCCCATTATTTTCTGATGCAATCATGAACTCCAGTGGCACAAACAAAGCAAATGCTGACACTAGCAGATTCTGTGTGATTAAGGAAAGAGCTGCCTGTCATTCAAAAACATTCCTTCTTCTCATCTCTGAACACAAACTAGATTATTTCAGCCTTACTCAGGCTGAAAACACAATTATTCCACAGAATATAAAAGCCTGCCATTTCCTAAAGGACAGTGGAATGGGAACAGAACGAGATGTGATGGAAGGACATTCATGGCTGAATCTGGTGTCTCCTGGCAGGCACAAGGCCTGGCGAGGAGAGGCCCACTGGTGCTAATTTTCACCACTTAGAGTAAAACAAACCCAGTCTCCTCAGCTCTTAAGCACTCTTGGGCCTTGGGGATGCCTAGCCAAGGATCCCACTTAAGTCCCTTGTGTTGTGCTTCTCTGCAGCCCACTGATGTCCTTAGGCAACGACTGCTAGATTGCAGGTTGCATTCAGCATCCTACATGTAACAAGGGCATTGAATCTTTGCCGTTTGACCCAAAAACATGGCCGGCTGGCCTGCAGGCACAGGGGCCTTCCCAAACAGCTCACTCCTTTCCCCTCGGCAGTTGACTGGCTTTTGTAAGGCTCTCCCTACTGCTGTACTAAAAGGCTAAAATGCCTTCCTGAGCCTGAGTTACCGGCCTTAAGAGCTTTAAGCTAAAATAGGCTGGTATTTTTAGCCCTGCTCCTTTTGCCGCTGGACTGCTGCCACCAGGGGAAATTCAGTCCCCTCAGAGCTTCCCTGAAACAGAATTCCCTTCAGCCGAACCAACAGAATCAACATTTTTGAGTTTGTTTCTAACTGAAAGCACTTCCATGTCTGGGGAGAAGTTGTTTTCTTCATATAAGATTTATTACGCTTATATACTGTCTGCCTAGGTGCAAATCGTAAATGACCCTTTTTGGAAAGAGTAATTTTGACAGATTTTATTGTCATCACAAATACAATGTGCAGTTGTAACATTTTAAAAAGTTACTCATTGAAAACTGCTTTGGACACCAATATTTTTATTTATTTATTTATTTATTTATTTATTTATTTATTTATTTAGGAAACTTCTATGCCACCCCATTCGCCGAAGCCACGGGGCGGTTCACAGACATAAATAAACTTCGTTAAAATAATATAAATTAACAATATAAATTAAATCGCCCTGGCCAAAGAATACAATAAATAAATACTATTAACAGTTAAAATGATATTTGAATAAAAAGGTCTTCACCTGGCGCCGAAAAACAAATAACGACGGGGCCAGGCGGACCTCTCTGGGGAGCGCATTCCATAGATTGGGCGCCACCACAGAGAAAGCCCTCCTCCAAGTACTCACCCTCCTAATTTCCTCCACGGAGGGTTCCCGGAGGAGGGCCTCTCCCGCAGATCTCAGGGGGTGGGTGGGCATATATGGACATAAGCGCTCCTTCAGGTAACCAGGACCCAAGCCGTTTAGGGCTTTATAGGTCATCACCAACACCTTGAATTGGGCCTGGACTTCATTCGGGAGCCAGTGGAGCTGACGGAGAACTGGGGTTATATGAGAACAACGCCCAGTCCCCGTCAGCAACCTGGCAGCTCTGTTCTGCACCAATTGAAGTATCTGGACCGTCTTCAAGGGTAGCCCCACGTAGAGCGCATTACAGAAGTCAAGTCTGGAAGTCACCAACACGTGTGTCACTGTCGCCAGGCAGTCGTACTCCAGGTAGGGGCACAGCTGATGGATCAGCCGAAGCTGAAAGAAAGTGCTCCTCGCCACCACTGTCACCTGAGCTTCTAGTGAAAGCTCTGGGTCGAGGAGTACTCCCAAGCTGCGAACCTTGTCTCTAAGAGGGAGTGCAACCCCATTCAGGACAAGGTTGAATTCACCCTCTCCGAAGCCTGATCCACCAACCAACAGGACCTCCTCTTCTCTGGATTGAGCTTCAGTTTATTGGACCTCATGCAGCCCATTACCTCGGCCAGGCACCGGTTCAGCACAGCCACTGCCTCACCTGGACTGGTGGAGAACGAGAGGTAGAGCTGGGTATCATCAGCATACTGATGATTCCGCAGCCCACACCTCCTGATGACCTCTCCCAGCGGTTTCATGTAGACATTAAACAGCAAAGGGGACAAAATGGACCCCTGCGGTACTCCATGGCATAGCTGCCATGGCGCAGAGCCATAGTCCCCCAGCACCACCTTCTGGAATCGGCCATTGAGATAGGAGCGGAACCACTACAAAGCAGCGCCTCTGACCCCCAATCCCACTAGCCTATCCAGAAGGATACCATGGTTGATGGTATCGAAAGCCGCTGAGAGGTCCAGAAGAGCCAACAGGGACACACTCCCCCTGTCCTTCTCCCTGCACAGGTCATCGTACAGGGTGACCAAGGCAGATTCAGTACCGTACCCGGGTCTGAAGCTGGACTGAAATGGGTCCAGATAATCAGTTTCATCCAAGAGTGCTTGTAGTTGTCCCGCCACCACCCGCTCCAACACCTTGCCCAGAAACGGGATGTTGGCCACTGGTCTATATTTAGTGGCCATCTCTGGATCCAGTGACGCTTTCTTCAGGACCGGTCGGACTACCGCCTCCTTTAAAGGGGCAGGTACCTGACCCTCCCTCAGAGAAGCGTTAACCACTTCCAAGATCCAGATCCCAATCCCGTGCTTGGCGTTGTTTATTAACCGAGATGGGCAAGGGTCCAATAGGCAAGTGGTGGGACGTACTCGTCAAGCACCTTGTCCACATCATCGGGCCGCACTAACTGAAATTCATCCATTAATTTTGGACCAGACGGCGACATTGGTATCTCCCCAAAAGCCTCTGAATCACTAGTAGAGTCTAGCTCATGACGAATCTGAGCGATTTTCTCCCTGAAATGCTTGGCAAAGTTGTCACAGCAGGCCTTCAAGGGTGGAACCAGATCTTTCTTAGGGCCAGGGCGGACCAGGCCTTGTACCACTCAAAAAAGCTCCGCCGGATGGCATTTTGAGGAGGCAATGGAAACGGAAAAGAATTTCTTTTTCGCCGCCCTCACCGCCACAGCATAGGCCTGATAATGGGCTCTTAAGTGTGTTCGGTCAGATTCATCCCGTGATCTCCTCCACCTATGCTCTAGCCGTCTCCCAGCCTGCTTCATCGCCTGCAATTCAGGTGTATACCAAGGAGAAGAGTGGGCTCTGCCCGATGGGAGACGATGCTTAGGAGCAATCGTGTCAACAGCCCTAGTCATCTCCCCGTTCCATAGTTCAACCAGAGCCTCGACAGGAGCACCAGTCTTGTCAACCGGAAACTCCCCCAGGGCCTTCAGGAATCCATCTGGATTCATCTGGCTCTGGGGGCGGACCCACAATATTCATTGCTCTCAAGAGTAGCTTTTTAAAAAAAGTGTAAAAAAAGAAAAGAAGGACAAAATTTGATCCTGGACAAGATGTTGCTATATGTACAGTTAGTTCTTTGTATTCATTTTTCTATTTACAATGCTTTAAAAGAACGCCAATAAAGTGAAGTTGATGTGCAAAAAATAAACTTCAGTTTGCAACTGTAAGTTGCAAAAGGGCATTTTCTAGATGGGACACATCAATTGGGTTAAATAATTGTTTGATTTCTATCCCATCTTTTTACAAAGTATTTATGGTAGCTAATTGAAATCTGCAGATGCTTCATAAGTACCAAGATTGGGCTTGTTTATAACTATGCTTCTGTAATTGATATTACAACACTAGTAAATGTGCCCATATTT